CAAGCAGGAGAAGGTCCCTTTGCACGTCCTCAAAAGAAGAAGAAGAAATCTTCAAGTATATCCTCTGAAACCATCTCTATTTGTGATTCTATGCGTATAACAACATCTGTTGAACCCCAAACTCTAGAAGATATTGAAGTTGACATAGACTTCACTATTCCCTCTGAACCCCTACATAATAACCCTCAAATTGATCAGATATTATCTGACATAGATAATTTTGATATTGTAGTTCCTCCATAAACTCGAACACAACCACCACTCTCTCCACATATCTATCAACCTGAAATCTCTACTTCTGCTCCCCACCGACAAAATCCAAATATTCCTGCTGAAAACCCTCTTCAAACATCCCCCATCAGACCTTTATCCCCAAGATCCTCTGAGTGGTATGATGGTTCTTGGAGATTACCAGGAATCAATGTGCCTTTGGCAACATAACCTTCGTCCTTCATCATTCCCTCTGAAAACATTTTTTCTCTGAATGAATCCCTAACATCTATTCCTTCTTCCTCAGCTCAAACCACCATAATCATTTCTCCTGACATCACACCACCTACGTCACCAGAAATTCCCACACCTACCTCACCAGAACCCTCATCACCTCACTCTCCAGAACCTACCTTCAGTCCATCTTCATCATAACCTCTTGAACCATCTGAACCATCTGACTTTCTTAGGACTGTAGTTGATCTTGAATCTCTACTTTATCTACAAATTAAATCTACCAAGAAGGTTGTTCCCAAACCAACCCAAAAACCTGCCCAGTCAGATTTTAATATACGTTTCCCAAATTTTGCAATAGAAATGCAGACTTGGATAGACCTACTGAAGGAAAACAGTACTAGCAACCTGAACCCAGCTGCATCTGATTTTCTATGGGAAGCATTCAGAAGGAAATTCAATGATGAATCCTTTAAAATGCAAGATCTCTGCTATTCTCAGGTTCTTGAGAATTTCACCCAAAATCTGAATGCCTTCAAGACAGAAGTCGCAAATATTTTGGATAAGTCTCTGCTTCAGATTACCAATGCTCCTTTACCACTTTGTTGATCACATGGAAATTTCAGAAGATGAATCTAAAGATGGCTCTAAGTCAGATCCAAATCCCTTGGCAATGACTCTGTATCACCAACCTTCTGCTCAAGCTGCCTCTGAGAATGTGCCAACTCTTCTGATTGATCTTGGCACTCTTCTCTCCAATGTTAGAGGCCTAGAGTCAGCTGGTATTGCTCCAAAGGTTGTATCTTCTAAAGCTTCTTCAACATTTGCTCCAACTTCGCTAGTGATTAACACTCTGAATGAGCTGATGAAGGAAAATGAAGCCATACATGAACGTCTGGACAAACAGGATGAAACAAACAAAGACATCAGAACTTGGATGATGAAACAAGAGAAATCCTCAACAGAAATCAAGAATATTCTTCTTTCTCGTGTCTCTCGTCAATCTTAGTTTTATTTTTTCCAATTTTCTATTGTTTTTGTTTTGTCTTGTACTTCTGTCCTTTGACATCTTCTATATAAAAATCTTTTGAATCTCTTTAATTTTTTTTTGCTTTTTGATTATGACAAAAAGGGGGAAATGTGATTTTGATCTGATCCATGATAGCAGTTATGGGACTAAGTCTCAAAAATTCCTAACAAAATACAAAGTTTTTTTTCCTGTTTAAGAGATATGCAGGTACCTCAAGACTCTGAAAGACTAAGCTCTAAACATCATTTGGTAAAGATCTGCTAAAGAAACTCTGAAGAAAAGATCACGAGCTCTTAAAGAAAATCTGAAAGAAAAATGTACCAAAGCTTTGAAGAACAATCTCAGGAAGTTTCCCTTATGCATTTAAATTATTTTACTATTTATTTCAGAAGAAGAAATATTTATCTCAGGGGGAGATTCTCACTCTTCTACAAAATTTCTTTTAAATCAAAATCTGAATAGTTTTGTCATCATAAAAAAGAGGGAGATTGTTAGAACGGAGTTTGGTTCTAATCATATCTTAGAGTTTTGATGATAAAAATGAAATAAATTTTGTATAATATATTTTATACTCTGATGTGCATGTTTTCTAATACAGATGATGTTCTGACTCAAGCATTCTCAAAAGAGAAACATCATTCTACCCAAGTTTGAAGCAAACTCTGAAGGAAGCACTCCAGGGCAAACTCTGATGAAAAGTAATCTTAAGCAACCTCTAAGAAAGCTAGCTGAAGCAAAGATTTGAAAGAAGCACGTTGAAAGCAACATCTGATAATGCATGCTAAGTGCACCTTGAAGAAGGTTTATTGCCTTTTTATCATAGAGAACTTTCTTCTTATCATCATCGTCCCATGCAGTTTTAGGCTTTGATGAGCCAACACCATTGATCACCGTTATATGGATAAATGGACCATTTTCGACGGTATCCCATATTTCTTCTCCTTGTGCTTCTAGATGTGCCTTCATGCGTATTTTCCAGAAGTCAAAATATTCACCACAAAATAGAGGAGGCTTGTTACTACCACCATCTCTGAAAACGGGATTTTGATTTGCGGAAGCCATTCTGGATCTTTTAGGAACAGGTTACCTATAATCTGCTCTGATGCCAATTGTAAGTACGAAGTGCGCCTAAGAGGGGGGGTGAATTAGGTACTTTAAAAAATTCTGGTTTTAGTAATGATGGATATTGTTTTTCTGGTTAATGGTGAGTTTAGGAAAGCGTAAAGTGCAAAAAAATAAAGAGACACGGGCGATATATCCTGGTTCCCCTCACAGTCCGAGAGTACTCCAGTCCCCTTTCTACATGAAAGAGATTTCCTTATTGTGGCAAACTTAAACAAGAACTACCAAAAAGCCAAGAACAATCCTCTTGGACCAAGAACAGTCCTCTTGGATTTTCACTATGTCAACTATGAGAACAATCCTCTCAAAGTGACTACACTTGTATCCAACAATTTTGGAAAGACAAGATTTCAAAAAAACACTTAAACTTATTTCCAACAATCCTGGAAAAATAAGTAAGTAACTATCAATATTTGAGTTTGAGTGAGTTGAGTAGTATTGATCACTTAGAGTGATTTAACAATATATGATCTTCTCTTCCAATAATATTATTGTATAATGACTCAAGATATAATTGCTCAAAGTTTTCTGTTTGATAATGTATGAAAATGTGCAGAAAACTTATGCATAAAAGTGAAGGAATGCTTGAGTTTGTATTTTCAAAATTCAGAAAATATTTATGGAAGAGGTGTTGAAACAGATTTTGAAAATGAATATTTATATGTTCATAACACCCTTTTGAAACATCATGAAGTTCTGAAAATGTATCATGAACAAATGCCAAGTTTGAGTGAAAGGTTTCAATGAAAAGGTATGATGAATAGGCATGTGAAAAGCTGTTGTTTTTCAAAATCGTGCAGCATGCAATCGATTGCACCCTTTGTGTAAATCGATTGCATAAGGTTTCAACAGCTATATTTTCAAAAGTTTTAAGTGTGAAATCGATTGCACTAGCAATGTAAATCGATTGCATGTAAAGTCAGTAGCAAAATGTAAGCGAGTGCAATCGATTGCACAAGCAATGTAAATTGATTGCACTGAGAAACAGAAGCAAACGTTTTGAAAATTTTAAGTATGCAATCGATTGCACAAGCAATGTAAATCGATTGCACAGAGAAACAGAAGCAAAAGATCTGAAAAATTGGAGCATGCAATCGATTGCACTAAAATGCAAATCGATTGCATTCAAGTGAAAAATGAAATTTTAACTTTGAAAAACTTGAGTAATGATTTTTAAACATTTCTTTTTCATTTTGAGCATCTATATCTTAAGATCAAAGTAAGTAATATTATTATACCTTGAAAGTTGTTGAGAGCTTTGAACTGAAGATATTGTCCTTAGATGCTTTGAACTTGATCATAAATCTTTGTCTTCTTTGTCAATCATAGTCTATCTTTATCAAAACAAAAGCTCATTTGAGAAGCATGATTTTACACATATCCTCTTAGGAGGAATCAAAGTCTCATTTCGTAGTTTGTGGTGTTTGGTGGTGTTTTTTATAGGATTGTATGCAATTTCTTTCGAATTATCCTTTAACCTTGTCTGAGTTCTAAGTTGAGTGATCGTAGACGCAGTTCGCAGTTAATTTTGAAAGTAATTCTCCTTAATCCTTTTTCGAAAATATCTTGAGTTTTGATTAAGTTAGTAGAAAAAGTTTGTAATTGGTTAGCTGTTTTAAATTAATTGATTGAAGTATGATATGATACAAAGTGGGGTGAGGATATTAAGGCTAGGTGGTGTTTTGGAAGAAAATCTAGACCCAGAGATATTTTGAGCCTAAATTAGCTGAGGAATGTGTTTTGCAATAGGGTAGTCAAATATGAGAGTTTGACAAGCGAGAGCTCAAGTTCAGATATTGAATTTGGCCCAATTAAGCAGCAGAGTTTAGTAATATCTTTGTAAAATATTAAATTAATTAATTATAAAAAATGTTTTTGATTTTTGTTTGGAAAATATTTTGATATTTAATTAGTAATTTACGTACAGTAAAATTAATCTTTAAGTTAAAATAATCTAATTTAACTAAATTATAAAACCAAAGAGGTGAAGGTTAAAAAAGAGAAATATGAATTAAAATTTGCACTAGAACCCTAACTTTCAAGGCCCAATCTTTCTAACCTCAATTCTATCTAAGATAACTAATTAAATTTTTTTTTTAAAAAATAATAAAAGAAAACAAACAATCAGTAGAAACACCCAAAGGGCCACACGACTATACCTCTCCCTTATATCATTCTCCCATTTTAAAATTACAAATCCAACCAACCGTTAAGTGACAAGTGGCATAAGATAATAATAATAAAAATAAAAAAACAAATAAAGCACATGTTATTATAGAGAGAGAAATGTATCAAGCCATAATCTCTCTTTTTCTTTTCACGAGACAACAACAATTTTTCCTGTTTCTCTTCTCTTTCTCCCACAGTAAAAAAAACAATCATCCTCTCTTTCTTAAAACAGAAATTACCCACATGGATTCTCGAAGGTCTCTCGTGGTGCCGTGATCGGAGCTTGCAGCGGATGTGTGTGATGGGTGCTGGCCGGAGATGGGTTGGGTTGTGCACAGAGAGCGATGCGGGACTTGCCGGAGAGGGCTGCTCGATGGTGCTTCGCTCTTGTGGCGTCGATTAGGAAGGAGATCACATTGATTGAGGGGATGGTCGTCGGAGAGGAGCGTGGTCGCGAGGTCATGGCCTAAACGGAGGAAGATCGCGGCTGATTGAGTTGCCTTTTGTGTTCGCGACGGTGGAGATGGGTGAAGGGAGGCTTCGCATTAGAGGATGGTGCAACACGGAGAGATGATGGTGTGTGGTTGGGTGAGTCTGCTCTGACTCAGAACTCTATTCCTCTTTCATCTTCTTTCTACAAAAGAAAAAAAACAAGTTGTACAAATTGTTGTGTTGTGTGTGTGATTTCAACGTGTTGTTATTATTGTTTCTCTTTTTCTGCTTCCCCTTGAAACCACTTCTTATCTATTATTTTTCCTTTACTTTTCAAACCTGTGTGTCTAAATTGTAAAAAAAGTTGGCAGGATAGAAGTTGTACATGATTGGATCAAAGTTTATGAATAGAAAAAAGTATGGTAATTATTTACCGTGTAATTCTAATGTGACAAAGAAATTAGAAAGGAGTATGTATAGTGAAAAAGAAAAGAGGTTTGTAAAAAATAAATGGTCAATTGCAATGAATTTGATACAGGATAAAAAGAAAATTTTCTGGAAGGAATAGTATGTTTGTGTATACCTTAAAAACAGTCAGCATTTAGAAAAAATCATTTGCAAGTTTTTTTTTTTTGTTAAAATTGAGAACAAGCACTTTATAAAAATTCATAAGAAAAATATTACTTTTCAAAAATATAAACTATCGGAACATATGAGTCACACAGTTTAATCAACAAAACAAATTATAATTAAAAAAAATTTAAAATATAAAGTAAAAAGGAGGGGCCTCTTAATAAATCCTCGGCCAAAAATAAAAAAATTATTGATGTCCGATATAGATAACAACCCTAGAATAAACCAAGAACAAGAATTTGAAAGAAAAAAAAAATCAAGTTGTTGTGGATTCGTGATTGAATTGTTGGTGAATTGTGTATCATTGTGTGTAAGTTTTGAGGGCTATTTATAAGTGAACAAAATTAGGTTAAACCCCAAAAAATGAAGTATCTGATATCCAAAACCCAAATTCTCATCTTGGCCTGCATGATTAAGAATCTGGACATATTTGTGTCCAGGTGCAAAATTTGATATAGAGAAAAATTGATTTGAAAAGAATTTATTTATTTATAAGATATTTTGACAATTTTTTAAATAAAATAATGATTTTAATAAAAAATAATATTTTTAAATATAATAAATAAATAAATACGAACATAGTAATTTAATAATAAAAATATGATTTTTGTGGTTAGAAATAATTGAAAATGAAAATAAAGCTAGTAACAATAAATAACAAAATTATCCAAAGTACACCAAGTGAGATTCAAATTTGTGACATTCTGCTTGCAAGTCTTTCTCCCTTACTAATTGTGCTATGTTACTTATTTGAAGTAAAAGGCCAATTGAAAATATATGAAGGCGAACAATTATTTTCTATTTTTAAAAATATAAATAATTATTATATTTTTAAATAGACTTGAAAGCAAATATTTATAAAAATAAAATAATATTATAAACACTGCTTAAAATATTTTTTACTGTAGAAATAAAGGACGGGAAAATTTAGGGTATGACAGCTGCCCATTTTAATCACTCTTCGATTGAATGGTGCGAGAATGCGCATGTCTCGTTCATTCGAATCAGAGATTTATTAAATAATGAAAAACCCCAAAATTTGACCAAAGGTTGGCTAGATAAGGATACGCTGATATAACATACTCCCAAGAGTTTTGAAAAAAATAGGCAAAGATGATGATGTATCACCTTACCAGGGTTTGAACCAAAGTTTCGTTGACTTAGATACGATGACGCGGATAACTCGTCATTATCTAAGAGAGATTGCAGATTTTTGCATATTTACCATGACCTAGGAGGTAAATGATACAAGTTTTAAAAAAGCTGACTTACTAATGCTTAGAGACTAATATAGTATGTTTTGATTTGATTTGATTTTGTCTATTCATCACAACCTAGGGGATGAATAAAACAACGTCCGATAACACATTGCTGCCTAGAGACTGATGCAATGGATTATGCATATTTATTTTGCATATTTATCACAATCTAGGGGATAGATAATTGAAAAAGCTTGACAACTACATCGCTGCATGGAGACTGAGGCGATGAGTTATATTGCAAAGAGGGAAACACATCGCTGCATGAAGCCTTACGCGATGAGTTAAATTGAGGATTTCACACATTGCTGCATGGAGCCTGACACAATGAGCTAGATCGCGGAGGAGGAAACATATTGTTGCATGAAGCCTGGTGCAATGAGTTATGTTGCAAATTTTACACATTGCTGCATGGAGCCTTAGGCAATGAACTATATCACAAGGAATAAAACACATTGTTGCATGGAGCCTTAGGCAACGAGTTAAATTATGGATTTCTCACATTACTACATGGAGCCTTAGGCAATGAACTATATTGAAAAAAAGAAAACACATTGTTGCATGGAGCCTTAGGCAACGACTTAAATTACGGATTTCACACATTGTTGCATGGAGCCTTAGGCAATGAACTATATCGCATGGAAGAAAACACATTGTTGCATGGAGCCTTAGGCAATGAGTTAAATTACAGATTTCGTACATTGTTGCATGGAGCCTTAGGCAATGAATTGTATCACAAAGAAGAAAACACATCGCTGCATGGAGCCTTAGGCGATGAGTTAAATTTTGGATTTCGCACATTGCTGCATGGAGCCTTAGGCAATTATCTATATTACGAAGAAGGAAACACATTGTTGCATGGAGCCTTAGGCAATGAGTTAAAATGCGGAGAAGAAAGTACATTGTTGCATGGAGCCTTGGGCAATGAGCTATATCACAAAGAAGGAAACTCATTGCTGTATGGAGCCTTAGGCAATGAGTTAAATTGCAAAGAAGAAAACATATTGCTGCATGGAGCCTTAGGCAATGAGCTATATCGCTAAGAAGGGAACACATTTCTGTATGGAGCCTTAGGCAATGAGTTAAATTTTTAGAGGAAGTTGTTTGATGATCAAATCTTAGATAACTAAATCAGGGATAAGATCGGATATTTGTCGGTTGACTGTTTTTAACCAAGGTAATAGTCTGATGGAGAGCCCAAAGATATTGGCTTCGCCCAAAGTATGTTTTGAGAAATGCCATGTGCGATGTATGTGTATGATGTCTTAGATTAGTATGGAACCCAGAGAGTATATGCACTGAGTGTATATGTCCCAAATGTTTGTGTATGCTCCAAGTATTTTTGCAAACATTTTTTATAAACCTCTCTTGTAACACCATTGGTTTTGAGTTATTAATTCTCCAACATGATAAATTGGTGTGGACGTGATGAAGAGTGTCTTGATATTTGTATCATAGGCGCATGTGTAGGTATGGACGTAGTCGTAGGCGTAGACGTGGAAATTGGCATTGATATGAATCGTAGATACGCTGCCTAGTGAGATTTTGATAACAGTACCTTTGACGATTGTGTATATTCTCAACTGAGGTAGCTATAGCAAGATAAATGGATAATGTTGAGCTTGGATTTGAATTTGAGTTCGTCTTATCTGGTAGTCATGCCTTGAGATTTTCCGCAGTTTTTCATGGGCATGTATGATTGAATGTAATGCATGTATGCATGTTTAATATGATTATACTTAATGTATGTGTGATGTATGGTATGTATGCTTGATATGATGATGTTATGAATTGAAATGATGCAATGATTGATAAATACAATGCCCCTATTATTTGAACTGTGGAACCAATGCTTAAGGCAAACTATCAGCCAATACTTATTTTTTCTGAGTAGCCATGTCAATTAGGGTTTGGGCTTTTGAAAATATGTGTCAGACGAGAACTGGGATTTTGAAAAGATGTGCCAGATGGGAATTGGGCTTTGCACCAACGTTAGTAGAACTACTGGAATAGTATCATCTTGGTGGCTTGGAAAGATAAAACGGATAGCAAGGTCGCTAATATTGGTAAGGTTGCCTAGAGACGTTAATCCGGTGATTTGGAAAGTGTGAGGCTGCTCACGACTTTTACATAAGACTGCTTACATATGAACAAAGAAACGAGGTTTTATGAAGCTGCTCGTGCCTTAGTTTGATGAAGAACGCTTATATCATAGACTCATCGAGAGGGATAGTCAGAGAAATGTTTGAGATTGTAATAGTGACTCTTTTAGAAATTTACTCTAGATTTTAAGGGGTCCTAAGTCTCGACCTATGATATGTCATGGATGCATGCAGATGTAGGCGTTAATGTGTAGAATGACTGACCAATGCATGTAGTGGGTGACTTGGTTATGCGTCAATGGATGTTGAAATTTTGATGTGCCAATGAGAATTGGGCTCTTTGTTAGATCCATGTTGTCGGAAGTCATCAACCAGATGAAATGATAAGCATAGCTTGCTTTTGGATTGTAGTATCCTAATGAATGCATGCTAATGATTTATGCAGACTAATATGTTTTTTCTGGATGATGCAGATGGTTAAGATATAGAAAGGTTACTTATGCGACAAGGTTTCTTGTCATATGATGGTTAGATGTTATGCTAACATGGTTTCCTAATACTTGATTTGAACATCGAAGATTGTTGTTGTAGGAGAAGGATCCATTGGTGACTGCGAAAGTATGCAAAGAGTTTTCCCCTTATGTGGAATATGTTAGGTCTTGGAGGAAATTCTCATTGATATGAGCTAGGAAATAGTTTGATCATAATATGAATGACCCTACTATTTTTCACTTTGAAACATTATACCCTCAATCTCCACAATTTGGAAGAGGTACTCTTGGATGGTTTAAACTGATTTGAACCAATTCCTTTTGATTGAGTCTCGCAGTGGTTTGCCCCACCATTCGAATTTGACAAATGTGCCCCTCAATCTCTAGGATTTGGAGGAAGTGCCTTCAGAAAGAACTTTGACCTCACCATTAACTTGACATAGATTGCCCCAAGTGTTCGAAGCTTGAAAAGTTTGTACTTGAAGTTGCTTGATAACTTTGGACCCTACGTGGGATAGGATGAACTTGGTACGTATTTCCCTAACA